ACTAGTTTCAAATTTCAGGTTCAGAAACACAGGGGGAAAGGTCACACAACTAAGTCGGCGTAAATTTAAATTCATTACAATGATTGTAAGTAGTTTGACAAGAATAGCGATGTATACATCCTTTGACAGTTATCTTCGATTGTATCTTCCAGTGTACGTTTCAGAGCTAGTAGATTGGGGGAAACAAAGATGAGCCTATTTCACAAGATCTGAGACGCACATGTGCAATTGCCAAACATTAGTTTCATTCGGCATACTAGCTGGATATATCGTTTGCCTTTGGGTAGAGAAACCAAACATTGATTTGTTGTCTAGAGTTTTGTAAGCGTATCCAGTAGTTTTCCACTATAAATAGTGAAACTATAACTTATTCTAAATTTAATTTAGTTGATGAAATAACCAGGAAAAATGATGCTCCTTATCCCATAGGATCCAGATGAATGACATCTGTTAATATTCTCTCTGTGACGTGTGATCAACTTAAAGGAATATTCTTGGAATGACCAATAGTCGTTAGTCATGCATAAAGTAGCTAAGTTATCAAAACAAAAGATTCATGTGTGCTTCAACCAATAGAAGAATCTGAAAAGATAAAAGAGAAATAATACCTGATTCAATAATGATTCAGTATTCTGTAATCAGTGACATTCTGTAGTCAGTACTAAGGTAATGAAGTAGTTGCTGATGATTCCACCAAACCTAACGATGGAACATCCACGACCAAAAGTCAATTTAAAGAGCAGCAAACGGTTTTCATTATCATTCTGTATTACGAATACTCTTTATTATCGCAGGACTTTCTCTATCTAGTTCAGCTAGCTTTAGACATATGATTTTAACTCACCATCTGTCTCCATGTTTGAAGCATACTCCTAACATGAGACAAGTCACTGAAGTAAGAAATGTTAATTCCTCAAGGGAGAAGAAACAAACACATGGAATCATACTTTTTCGACCATCCAACTGATCATTTTTCCAGACGGTATGCATGAAATGCACATATGTGGTAAGCAGCAGACATTAACAAGGAGCCCTTCTAGGGTTTGAGCCGGCAATGTTTACCAGATGACCTACTGTAGCGTCCGTTAATTATAAAGCCACAACTTCGGCCGACCGAAGCTTTACAATATGTGAAGCAGATTTGTTTACTCCTTTAAACGTTATTAACAGCGGAAAAGAATTTCCAGTGTGTTATCTCACAGCAGTCAACCTGATAAGGCCTATGCGCACGGACAAAGGAGGAAAGTAAATGAAATGACCAAGGTGTAAAAGTGTATCTCAGCCCATCTTAAGTCCTTATTATTATATTATTATTTGTTCCTTGGGTTCCTAGTGGAACATACGGCTTCAGTAGCACATCTCCATTGCACTCTCTTCTCTGCAGCATTTTAAACCTCGCTCCACCACTGCCCATATGCTCTCATTTCTTCCTCGCACCATCTCCTACATGTCACCATCACCTCGGATGCCCTACTCGCCGTTTCCTATCTGAGTTCCATTCGAGTGACTGGCGCGTTATGTCCCCATTCGGCCTTCTCAGCATATGCCTAATCCATCTCCACTTCCTTCTGCATATTTGTTCGGCGATAGGTTCTTGGTTGGTTCTTCGCCAGCCAGAGTTCCTTGTTGCTTATTATTATTATTCTGACCATCCGGTCTTCAGTAACAAGCCAGCGTAGGCAGTTGTTGATGAATCTCTGTAGTTTGTTGGAAATGCTTTTCGTAACGCGCCAAGTTTCTGAACCATACAGAAGCAATGACTTGACGTTGGTGTCGAAAATCCGGATGTTGTTCACGCTTTACGCTGAGTGCAGTGCAGTAGATCTCCACACTGGTTTCAGTCTAATGAACGCCTGTCTTGCTGTCTTTCCGATCCTGGCTTTGACGTCCTCGTCTGTGACGCCTGTAGTTGAAACGATGCTGCTTCGCCTAGGTAGGTGAAAGAGGCTACTTCTTTTAAGTTTCTCCAGTTGATGCTGACTGGAGCTTGTTGTTGTTGTTGGTGGTAGCATTGATTTGGTATCATCATCACCTCTGTCTTCTCTACGTTCACTTGAATTCCCGTCTTCGCTGCCCAGCCTCTTCTATCAACTTGTTAGTTTTTGCCTGTAATCTTAAGTCCTTACAAGAGACTTACTGTACACTAGCAGAGGAAAGAGCTGGGCGAACAATGATATGTGAAGCGTTACAGATTGGTGAATAATTGCTTTTAGCTAATTCAATTCATTGAAATAAAAAATCGATTACCAAATAACGAAAATTAGTTGAATTAATTATAAATAACTTACCAATATACGATGCATTTTTGCGAAATTCACAATCAGAAAAACCATTAAGGACCTGGGAGTACATTGTAACGGTTCAAGCTGTGATACCTAAAATCAGCACATCATCAATGTACAAGGTATCAAGATGAGAAACAAGGATATTGCGAAAAATGCAACCACAAGTCACAGAATGTTACATAAAGCAAAGAGAGAGGGGTAAAGCAGTTCAAGAAATACAATATGATGGTAAGGAGAGAGACAATGTGAAGTTGTATCTCTGCTACTGTAATCAACTCATATTCAAACCGCATATAGTCATAAGCTATAAATTTCACGTGTTACATGGATGCTAACCAGAAAGTTTATATTTCCGTACACAGCTTAGTTCTATTTGTGCATAGTTTCCTGCAGTCAAGTTTATTTTTCGCTATAGTGCTGTAACTAGTCGAATATCTGTTCGGCTTGTTTGTTCCCAACCGATATTCAGATATCATGGACTTTATAACCTACAAACATAATACAGTTAGGAGAAGTGTTCAAAATGGAGAGCTTTTACTCTTTAGGTAACCGAAAAAACAAATGCTTTTATGCACAATAGTTTCATTCTTTTCCAAAACTAAGAACAGTAATATATTCGAAGTAGCATCAACCAATAGTAGAGTAGCCTTTAAAATAGTAAGGGAAAAGGATCTACGAACTGCGTTGTAGGAAAGGACACTAAAGTGGTTGGTTGAATTTAAAAAATTAGGATATATTCTGTTCGATGGCTAGCAATGGAATCCACGAGGCATGTTTCCTCCTATTTAAAACTTGTCATCTGGATGTACCTGTACTCCATTAAGTGTTGTTCCCACTGACACTCGAACCCAGTACCCATTGATTGAAACCCAAAAGCACTATCCCCTAGGTTTCAGTGAGAAAACACCACTCACTTGGGTTCAGATATATCCAGCTGATGAATCCCGAACAGGACGAAACACACGTCCTGGATTCCACCTCTAACCAACAAGCGGAATGAATCATAATGAGTAATCATGCAGTATCGAGGCATACACATCTGCCAACGGAGGTCAAGCAATTTGACCCAGTATAGTAACGAGAGATAACAAGTATCAAAAAATAAAATATAGTTTCTTACAACGCTTCAAACCTGTATATGTGGTAATTTGGTGCATAAAAATGAGATAACAGACAGTAGATCAGCCTATACTCTAGCTGGTTTGCATTTTGAACTCAACCTTTCGTCATCAGATACTACCATTGTTAAGTTAATAGGGAAGAAAAAAATCCTTTAATTTTGCATTAATTTTCATAAATGATAATTGTTTACAACTTGATCAGTCAGTGTCAGAGAATGATTGACTGAAGTGTTGTGTTTTAGAAGTGATGCTTGTGAAATGATTGATTGATAGACTTCAGAAAGTTATTTTAACCCCCTTTTATACATTGCTAAATACTCATGTTTGTGAAGTCACTTACTGCGGCTAATGTAGAAACGATGGTATCACGAATCTTGTATATCTGATTCCGATTTCACTATACCATATTTTTAACCTATGATACTATTGAGGTATCACTCATTACGGACTGATATCAGTTCAAGAACCAGTGAAAATCCGAGAGCACTGGGTAACTGTTTCGTCCTGGCGTGGGACTCCTTAGCAGTCCACACCCACGAACCCGACAAAGATTGAATTCAGGACCTTTGATTCACATGGCAAATGTGTTAGCCATTCAGCTACTGGGCCGGATTTTAATCATCTACAGTTTCTTATTCCTATCAGTTCATAATTTAGCGTGACTATCTATAAAAGTCTTCAGTAGATATCAGCTTCACTTCCGACTAGTGGATAGTCGCGCTATATCGCGAATTGACAGAAGTAGGAATCTGTGGACAATCGAAGTTCACTCCAGTGGTTCAATGGTTAATACGTCCGCCATGAAACCTGAGGATAACGAGTTCGATCCCTGTCAGGGTCGTGGGTGCCTACTGATGAAGAGTCCCATACTAAGACAAAACAGATGTCAAGTGCTCCCAGATTTTCAATGGTTCTTCAACTCAAGTCAGTCTATGATGAATACTATGTTAAAGACAAAATCCTTATTAACCTTAAAATACTTAAATATTATGTGTTCAATTGAAATATGATAGTTTTGCTGCTTAGCCTCCATTTTTACTACTCAAAAATGGTTTCATTGAGTCTATATGAAGTTTTTCGATATTCCGTCATTATAGAGGGGTTAATTAAAGAAAAAAGAACAGATTATATAACACATATGGTCATCAAGTGTTTATTCTTTTAGGACACTTAAGACTACCTAGAGGGAAGAAACACTTTTTGCTTGTTTCTATTTTACTATTCATCTATACCTACCTGACCAGCATCTTGACAGTAATTGTTGCTAGGATCCCTTATCTAACACTGTCAAAAAAATGTCACATAAGGTGAATATATATATATATATATATATATATATATATATATATATATATATATATATATATACTGGAAACGAAGCGTACTTTATTGAAACCGTAACCGATATTTGATTGAAAGATACTTGTTTATCCATTTTATCAAGCTCACATCATTGGAATCATTTCACTATGAACTCGTTATTGCTTGTACGAATATAAATTCGACTAAGCTTTCACAAAAATAGATTTTGGGAGGTTTTCGGTTTGACCCAATCACACTAACCTTCAGACAACTCATTACTTACATTATTATTATGGACTCCGGAACTCTCAGTATTTCATATAGTTGTCATGAGAATGACAACCATTTTGACCACAACAAAACTAATAATAATAATCATGCAAACAATCCAAACATACTTGTAAAGCATAAGTATCCTTTCCCTAATGACTCTCAAACATCAAACAAATTCAATGATCAATCGTTTCCATTGAATCTTGGACACACCGCTGATGCATTGATAATAGATGATACAGATAACTTCGCCTTAAATAATACTGATAATAATATATTGAATTCTTATCCCATTAGTTCAAAAAATTCAAGATTTATTTGTAACGTGAATACTATTCATGATTTGCCTTTTTCTGTGAATGATTACCATATTACTGAAGAGATCTGTCAAGGTGATTTGGATTACCCCAATGATAAGGATGAGTATGAGCGTGATAATGATATCTGTGATAATTGTATTAGGAGCAATCATACTAGTACTACTAATAATAATAATAGTATGATAATGGATGATATTACCATAATCATTGCATCAATTAAAAGTGAGTTTTGATTTTCATTACAAAGAAATTAATTTATATTACAGTTACGCAGTGTTAAAACAATAACTGATGAAGAGTTATTTCAGCCTTGTTTCTGTGTCTACAGTTACTTGACAGTTGGTTGAATGAACGTACATTTATTCAAAGTAAATTTCAATACCTGTAGGGTACTGAACAGAAGTAAGGTTGACATTATGTGCTAGAGGGCTGGGTAGGTAAGATAGCCATGTTGGTTGATGCGTTTGTGAATCTTCACGGATTAAGGTGGTCACATATATGTTATCCATACCTACTTGTCATCCATCTAAATGAAATATGTTAGCTGGAGTAGGATCAGGTCAGAAGAAAGGTGGAGATTGAGAGATCAAAGAACATCACTGAACCCTGAACTCACTAATCTTCTTTCTGACTCACGTAAAGAATCGTTGATCAACTTGGTGGGGTTTTCTAGCTGTTAGAAACCAGTGATCAGAGACTGTAAGAAATATGACTGGAATTGGATTGCATTTGACTTTAAGGTTTGTTTCAAATTATTCATTAATTTCTGGTTGGTATTCATCACGGGATGACATCAGTTAGAGAAACACTGGAAACCTAGCAGCACTGTACAGCGGTTTCGTCCTATTATGGAACTCCTCAGCAGTGTACACCCTAACACTAACCCTCACCAGGGGTCGTAAACTGTCTGAAGTAGGAAATATGAACCATTGCATTCCGACCCAGTGGCTCAGTGATAACGTGCCGGCTGCGAAACCTGAAGAACTTGAGTTCGATCCCTGGAGGAGCTGGGTCATGGGTGCTCAGTGTCGAGGTGTCCCATACTAGGACGAAACGGCTGTTCAGTGCTACTTGGTTTCCTGTGTTTCTCTAACTGACGTCACTCCTTGATTGCATTGGAATTGACATACGCATTATGTATCGCCTTTAAAACCTTTTAACATTATTACAAACTCTTACTTCCTTTTATTAACGCAAGGAGAATCGAACTTGCAAAATAAATTAGGCTTAATTTACTTTTTGGCTTCTATCCAGCTATTGACAGACTAAAAATACACCGAACTAATGAACTTAAAGCTAGAGGAACATGAAGGAGGTAGGATTTTAGAAACAAAGTGAAATGGTAAACTGTAACACCATAGCTATGTGACAATAAAGTGTCTAGTGATAAATAGTTAGGAAGAAGATTCTAGATGATGTACGTAAAATAAACTGTCACCTTTAATTACAACCAGAGAACTAATGAATATTACGTAAGAAGATAAGTGAAAAGAGTACAATGAGTTGAAACCGATAGGCTGACAATAAATAGGAAAAATTCATGTTCTTAGGTAACAGAACTGTTACTATGAAAGACCTAGATTGAGTTTTGTCTCATTTTGAATTCAGGGGTCAGGCTGAATTCAACTTATTTCAACAGATTCAGCAAACGAAATACGTTTATTAATCATTTTGAAGGCAGTAATTATATCCACTTCATACCACGAATCCATAAAATATCAAGTAGTTTTTCTTCTAACTGACTGGGAATTTTTAAGTCGAAGATTTCTAAGAATGTTTTTGGCAAAGTGAATTGAAGTCTACTTTCCTGTCCTTTTTTGTTTACTTGATATGAAAAGTACACAAGAGTGTATAGATGCAACTGGAGATGACATGAGTCTAGCATTTATCCACTTTTAACAGAGATAAACCATACGTACTGCTGTACAGAGGAACGAGAATAGCTGCTGACAAGGTCCCAGTAATGGAAACTTAAATTTTTAATCATTTGTTCTGCAATACCGCTTCCCTTAGCATACAACTGAAAGGCAACTGAATTCCCAACTTTAATGACCATCTTCCTTTCTATGTTTTATCATTATTATTATTTTTCCCTTGACTTCCTGGTGGAACATAGGACTTCAGTAGCACGCCTCCATTCCACTCTCTTCCCTGAAGTCTTTTAAACCTGCCTCCACCACTGCCCACTACCTTTCATTTCTTCCTCACATCATCTCCTACATGTCACCCTCGGCTCAGATGCCCAACTCGTCATTTCCCCTTTGGACTCCACTCGATGACCTGGCCTGGCCTGGCCTGACGTGTGATGTCCCCATTCGGCCTTCTCAGTGCATCGCCAATCCAATCCATCTCCACTTTCATCTTCCGCATATTTGTTGGGCGATATCTTCTTTGTTGGTTGCTTCGTTGCCAGGCCAGCCACAGTTCCTTGTTGCTTATTCTAATTATTCTGACCACCTGATCTTCAGTGTCAGTATCGAGTGAACATAGGCGGCGACTGTTGATGTGATGTATATCTGGAGTTTGTTGGAAATGCTTTTCGTGACACGCAAAGTTTCTGAACCATATAGCAGCACTGACTCACTTGACACTGGTGTTAAAAATTCGGACCATGTTCACGCTTTATGCTGAGTGCAGTAGATCTCCACACTGATTATTTCAGATTAATGAAGGCCTTTCCTACTGTCTTTCCCATCCCGGATTGGACGTCTTCATCTGTGTCGTCACCACATGTAGTTGAAACGATGCTGCTCTGCCTAGGTAAGTGTAGGTGAAAGAGACCACTTCCTTTACGTATCTCCCGTTCATGGTGATTCATGCTTGTTGTTGATGCTGTTGTTGGTTGGATATCTTCATCACCTCCGTCTTCTCTACATTCACCTGAAGTCCCGTCTTCGCTGCCCAGCCTCTTCTGTCAACTTGTTGGTTTTCGCCTGTAGATCTTCGAGTTTGTGCCACAAGACATTAGACACAGATCATCATCGGCGAAATCCAGATGTGGGATATTTCCATCGATCCAGCCAGCGTATCCCCATCTTCTCGCTTCTCACTGTTTGCTGCACGATCCAGTCCACTACAACCAAGAATATCATGGGTGAGAGTAGGCAGCCTTGTCTTACTCCTTCCTGTCTTCACTTCACAGGCATCACTGAGCTTTCCAGTGTCAATCATTTAACATGTGGCTTCTTCATATAGCTGTTGAATGAGGTTTATGAAGATTTGTTGTACTCCTTAGTGTTGAGGCAGCTGGCCACTTACTTCTCGGTCGACGCTGTCGAAGGCCTTTTCAAAGTGGATGAAGTTGCGGTGAGTTGGAGAGTTGACTGCCATTCTATGCTGTGTTCTACGATGATGCTTAGCGTAGCGTTGCAAATTGGTCGGCACATGATTTACTTTTCCTGAAGCCAGCCAGCCTCTTCCGTTCATAATTTTGAATGCAGCGCATTCTTTTGTTTCTCCATGATGATGTGGTATAATATTTTGCTTTGGGTGGACAGCAGCATGATTCCTCGCCAGTTCTTGCAAAGGCTCATTTTTCTCCTCTTCGGTATTTTGACAAGGTAGCCCTTCCTTACAAACCTTCTGCAGTGAGAAATTAATATACAGGGTGACAATTAATAACTGTTTTTCTTGAATTAATCACGAATGAACAAAATGGCTGTCCTGTATTCAGGTAATTGTCAGCCGCTTTTTCTCAGCTGACAGTCACCTGTAAAAACAGATGGTTGATTTGAGTTCTGGAGACCACCGAAAAAGATGATTAATAACATTGCACAACACGCCTATAACTCGATTGAGTCAGTAAGGATTTGTTCACGCCTTACTTTCACTTAAGGTTTGAGAAGATTGTAAATACTCCTTATTCTTTCTTTGTATCTGACTGTTGTCTTTTCAAACTGTCAATTTTATCTTCACTTTTTAGCATTGTTGGATTCCTTCCAGGTATGATAGGGTGACGTGTAAGAGCTTGATCACTCTTCATTTGCGTCAACTTCCACATTATTTCTGCCTATCTGCTTGTACTGACCATTACGTTAAGAATAGATGACATCTTGTTACAAGGAATGGTAGTTAACAGTGAACTTTATATGAGAGAAGTAATCATAAGCCTTACACAACACTGAACAGGACATTCGTTTGCGACACTACTTATGATAATTTTTAAGTAGTATCCGAACATCGCATTAAAATAGTTAACTAGGGACTTTGTGAATAAGAATAACTAAATTATTTGTTTTAAAAGCTATCAGACTACATTTACATCTTCCGCAATTTAATCCTCATTATATTGTGAACCATTCAATCAATATCTTTGAAGAGAATCAACTGAACAATTAATCACTATCATACCACTTAGTGACTACCCCAAGACCAGCGTGTTACCTGAACCTCGAGGTCCTTGCGGGCCGTCATGGGTGCGCACTTCTGAGGAGTCCCATAATGGGATGAAACACCTTGCCAGGTTCCCAATGGTTCTCCATCTGATCTCAGTCCAGGATGAATACCAACCTGAAATCTATAAATACTAATACTGAACAGTTGTCAATTTAATTACTTTAAAAATCATACTGTATAACTCATTTTACAGAACTTCATTCCTTAGTAGGAAATGAGTTAAACAATAGACCAGTGGAGAGACAGATGTAGAACATTGAACAGAAAGAATTCTATTACTTCTAGATACCATATACCGCAACAGTAATAGAAGAAGAATGACATTGAAGTAAACAAAAGTATATAAGAGGTGAACAATTAAATAAAGTTCTTGGAATGTTGTCTCTTAACAGTTTTCATCAATACCAGAAAAACCAGAACTGCAAACGAAAGAATAAGAAAAAGTTGATTGATAATTCAACTTATAATGGCCTGAGATCCAGATGATCACGTTTTCCTTTGTTGTATGATTCACCACAACAGATCAGACAAATAACCTGATATTTCCAGTGATAAATTATCCCTTTCAAACGTTGGACAGGTTTCTGGTTGAAAAAACTTGAGCTATTTTGAGAGAAATAAGCTATGCATAAGTTGAAGGACTGATAAGAAGCAGCCAAATGGAGATCAACATTTTAAGCAATCAACCATTGAGGCAGAAGCTCAAGGTTCCAACTTCTGTTTCACGCTACTGTGTGGTCAAGAAAAAACTTATTGGACAACTTATCTTACAGTTGACTAATCAAAATAAATATCCAACTTTTAACCCACTGGCTTTATATTTTCTTGAAAACTGTGT